ATTAGTTTTACTCACCCTCACGCAAAAGTCCTATATATGGATCAGCTTTTGTAGTTATATCCTACAAGAGGCATTAATACAACTTATTTCATTTTATACTATTATGGCATACAATTTCTACAAAAGCATGCTCATTCTTTTTCTCATTGTACTTTTCTTCCATGTTCGATTCTTTGAGGCGAGACAACTAGCCTCGAGCAAGGCAAAGCTGAATGCTCTTCCTAAAGTCCTTGAAACTCCTTGTCACGCGAATGGTCGCGCAATTGCTGGAAATGGAAGGTTCAGTACTGGCCCTCACGGTGCCTTCATTAACAGAAATCTTGAGTCTGTTCCTAGTCCTGGGACAGGAAATTAGTTGCTTTCAAGAGGCTGAAAGTTCTGAGTTGTATGATAGTCTACCATATGTGCTGTGTTTGTGCTATTTCATCTAGTAACCCAGTAGAAAAATGTAAAGAGTGGACATGGTCTTCTCATAATTATGTTTTATTGCACTTGCACCTCTAGTTTCATCCATCTATTTGAAACCAATATATATATATCCTACTCATCTGCCTCACCGACAAGATTGCTTCGCTCGTTTCCTTTTAGAACAAAATTCATTTATTCATAATGTGTAAATAGAAATAAAACAATTATAAAAAGAAAAAAAAGCTTTAGAAATTATTAAAATTATCAAATTCAGAAAAGATTAACAGCAAAAACAACACTTCAGCCCTTTAGAAGTTGTAAAAAAACCTTTTTTTTTTTTTTTTTTTTCTTTTTGAAAAAAGAAGTTATAAGAAACATTTTAAAAAGTTAGAACTTAGAAGCACCTTAAGGTTGTTGAAAATAATATGTACAAATGCCTTACTACCTAAAAATAGAACCTGAATGCTTATTTAGCCCAAATTGATAAGATATTCTTTGTTAGAAAAGTTGAAGTTGAACAAAATTTAATTTTTTTGAAAAGTTTTTCCAACATTTTTTCAAAAGTTGTTTTCGACTTCTTAAGGGGTTAAAGCTTAATTATATTTTTTTGCTGTTAATCACTTAATTTTCTGACTTTGATGATCATGTCCACTCCTTACGTATTTTTCAACGGGAAATTCTAGATGAAATAACACAAACACAAATATGGTAGACTATCATGCAACTCAGAACTTTCAGCCTCTTGAAAGCAACTAATTTCCTGTCCCAGGACTAGGAACAGACTCAAGATTTCTGTTAATGAAGGCACCGTCAGGGCCAGTACTGAACCTTCCATTTCCAGCAATTGCGCGACCATTCGCGTGACAAGGAGTTTCAAGGACCTTAGGAAGAGCATTCAGCTTTGCCTTGCTCGAGGCTAGCTAGTTGTCTCGCCTCAAAGAATCGAGAATGAGCATGCTTCTGTAGAAATTATAAGCCATATACAAATGCCTGAAAAATATATATATATATATATATATATATGTATATGCCTGAAATTATAAGCCATCCAAGTGCCTTACAGATAACCTGTCCAAAAGCTCTGTGAGCTACTCTTCTTTTTGTTTTTGATATTGCCATTGAATGCTGCATGAGTCCTAAACAACCCTTGTACGTCTTGCCAATCTTTCCACCAATGCCACCACAAACCAAGCAAAAAAAACTCTCCACATCATGTTTCTTCTCATAGAAACTCCTCAACTCTCCATTAGTAATGAACATATCCAGAAAAACTTGTACTCTTCACTCCCATCAACCTCATCCTTCTCCAGCAGGTAATCTTCATCTTCACACTCAAAATCCTCACTCTCTCCATCATCATCTCGATCACGATCAACTCTATTTTTGAAGAATCCTCGGCAGGCATCAAGAGCTGGAACATCAAGAGCAGGTAATTTTTGCTGTATTATCATTGAGGTCAATTTGGCCTGCTCTTCATCTGAAAGGGGTCGACTTGGCTGATCCTGCTTGGGTTTAAATTGGGGCCATGATGGTGTAGCTGGAACATCCACCGGCGGCTTAACAGGCCATTTGGAACCCGGGTATGCTTGTAGTGACGGTACGGATCCCGCCGGAGCAGTCTTATTGTTGGTCGTGTGAATTCGGTTACTGGGTCCGGATCTTCTCTTGAAATTGGTGGTGGGGTTGGTGTAATGGAGGTTTATTGATGGATTATGGATGTAATTACGTCTAGGGTTCTGGTTTCTGGGAGGACCCTGATGCCAAAGACCATGGAGAGGTAGATAACTTCATTCCTCAATCTCTGTTCATCGTAAGGGTACATCGGAGAAGATGATCGAAGAAGGTAAAACAGGCGTTTTTCTAGGCTCTCTGCAAAAGATTTTGCTGAAAATTACAGAAGTAATACAAATTTTTCCATTTTTTGAGATAAATGTTAAAATGTAGAAAATATCTTCTTTACCCTTAATTCATTTATTTTTCTTCATATTTCCTCGGTAAACAAATACATCATCGAGACATCGACGCATACCATCAAAACTCGTGATTCAGCAAAAGCCCGGGAATTTACTACCGCCGTAAAAATTGGCGGGAAAATGTTGGAGAAAACCGTTGGTTTATGCTAAGCTTCTCCTTCATTCGTACCATCACCGGCAGTCCTAGAGAAAACCAAACTACAATCCCCAAACCTTTTTGGATTGTTCCTGCAGCCTCTAGAACCCGCCAATGTCAACCAAAGTCGTGGCGGAGTACGCGAAATCAGGCCGGTCATCGAGCAAAAAGTGCGGCAGGGCTATCACCGCCATGTGGACTGCTTTTCTGACAGAATTGAGTCCCTGGAGACAATCAAGGGCTTTGCCTATCTCGAGGTTGGTACAATCAAGGGCATTCAACCAGAGGTCTTGGGGTTTTATGTTATGACTGATTGGTTTCGTTTTTATGGGTTCAGAATGCTGAACCGGAATATTTGAAGAAGTTGTTAGACGTGCCTAATACACCTCCGGGCAGGTACTTATTAAGTTTTGATCATGGTTTCTTGGGTATATGAATGAAATGCTTTGTCTTTGAGATTTTATTGAGCAATGGATAAATATTGTAGATATTGCTTGAAGTTAAAAGGAAAGTCCTTGGATATTTATAGATTGGATATAGAAAAGCGTTGGTAGATTCACATCTCAAATCAAGGGGAATGGAGAGTTATGGTAAAAGTATTTCTTATGAGACTTCGAATTCTTTTGTTGCTTTTCATGAATGATATTTCTTGAAAATTTGTTCTTGAACTGTATCTTTTAAGTGTCAGCTCAGTGGTTGGAATGGGAGGCGATCAGCTTGTTGGGAATTTACCTTGAATTTATCAAAGAAAGAAATTGAGAAGGGGATTCAATTCCAACACAGTCACCTGAATTCGAACATAGAAATGCTCACTAAAGAGCTCAATTATAGAAGCCTTGATTCTTATACTGGCTAGGATCTGTAATAACAATTTTTTTTTTTTTGTTTGTAATATAGTTAAGTGGTTGCTGATTTATTTTCAAGGTTTCTTTTCTATAAGTTGCTGCTCAAGATATTTGGGAAGATCACAAGACTATTTTATAAAAGCAGCTAGTGTTACTTAAGGGGTCAAAGGATCAGTAAGAAAATCGCAAAATCTACCAGCCATTCTCATGCACATAGCTACTCTCAAGGCACTGTCAATCTTTTTGGATTGTGTTACAAATGCAAATGCTTTCTCTTATTTTTGCCCCATGCTTGCATTCTGTGCTTTGACCAGGTTTTGCAGCTGAAATGTCTAGTTGGTATCTAAATGCATTTATCTCGAGTAAATGGAAATGAGTGATGAGAACATCAACATGCCTGACTGATATATGCTGCTAATGGAAAATGAAAATCAGAAGCAGCTACAACCAGAAGGATTTCTTTTGGTTGGGTTCTGGCAGTGAGCAAACTACGGGTTATAGGGAAATTTTGTTTTGTCTTTCCTCAAATAACTAAATCCAAGCAGGATCAACCAATTAGCAAAGATTACTTAAGACATTCTTCTATTGATTAGTTTGATCATTTTGTAGGATGATGCTCTCCAAGATTCAGAGAAATTGCTGCATTTGATTTTTTGATGGTTGTCTGGCTAATACATCTGGTAAAAGGTATGTTAACTGACGTTTGTTTATCAACATTGTATGAAAATGTATACTTCTGACACACATTGTTGGGTGCCCACTAGATGAATGAACGATGAGGTTCACAATTTCTCTCTTGATGGATTAACTTTGCTTATCGTTTTTTTTTTTTTCTGTTAAGTCATTACATCTCTGATGACATCACAGGCATTAATCTATTATGCCAATGCATGAATTGAAGGGTTAATCAGAAGTTCTTGGGTAAGTGGACTTCAATACACAGTACATTGATTGTAATTTTAATTAAAAAGGAATTGAAGGTGGGATGCTTGGTTTGATGGTTAAAAAATTCCTTGGCATGATAATTTAGCTTAGGTGTTCATCAAGATGGAAAACGTAAAGATGATGTTAGCTGTATTATTGTTAGTTTCCCAGAGATATAAGTAATTCTAAAATTTCTGCCAAGTTGTAAGGGAAAATTCTGTAAATTTGTAATAAAACCTAGTTCGGGGCACCAAATCGTAAGAGTAAAATCAACTATAGTTTAAGGGACTGAGTAGTAGAGAGCTTAATCCCTGGATGACTTAGCTGAAATCAGAGTGTTTAGATTGATGTCTGGTCATAAAAGAAAAGGTAAGATAAGAAGTGAAGATAATCTAAAAGGTTGGACGTTGGGGTACAAATAGTTAAGTAGAACAAGGGAGAAGAATAATGATGACCTTGTGGAACTTAGACTTAGTTCATAAAATGGAAACAATAAAAAGACGCAGTAATTGGCCAAAGATTATATGAATTGTATTACATAAGGACTTATCTTTTTTGTATCTTCTTGGGAGAATAGGTTTTATGATCGAATGGAGAACACAGGAAAAAGATTCAATTAAGTGACCCCTAAAAGACTGAAAGTCTCAGTTGAGTTCATTGTGGAATATGAGGATGACCTGGTAATTACATTTTTCTTATTTTATTAGTTT